ATGGTAATGGTCCCTTGTTAGAGGTACCCATTGTCATCGTCCCTCTTTCTCTTCCTTACTTTATCCGCTAGTGTTCTAACCCTTTCATTTTCATTCAGTTCTTCCTTCTTTCTTCTCTCATTTCTGTTTCACCTTTACCTTGCTATCTCCTTTTCGCTTCCTCTTCCTATCCCTTTATACTCGCTCCTTCATCATACTTTCTTTTCTTCCATACTTTTATATTTCCATCCATCCATCTCTCCTAATCCCCACTTTTCCTCTCTTCCTCTTATTCTCGCTCTTTCTTTCTTCCTTTCCTCCTTCTACCCTCCTTTCTTCCTTCTACCCTCTTTCTACCTTCCCTTACCTCCACCCTTCTGCTCTCCTTCGTTCCCTCCAACCTTCTCTCCATCGTTCTATTCCCCCTCCTCACTCCCTCCCTCCCTCAACCGTCCCTCTATTCATCCATCCCACTTTTCTTCCACCCTCCATCTAACCCAACACCAACACACACTTTCTCCCCCTGTGCTTTCCATACCTTCTGCCTTCCCTCCTTCTTTCCCTCGTTCCCTCCTACCTTCCCTCCATAGTTCTATTCCTCCTCCTCCTCCCTCCCTCCTCCAACCCTCCCTCACCCTCCACTTCCTTCCATCCTCCATCTAACCCAACACCAACACACACTTTCTCCCCCTGTGCTTTCCATACCTTCTGCCTTCCCTCCTTTTTCCCATCGTTCCCTCCTACCTTCCCTCCATCGTTCTATTCCTCCTCCTCCCTCCCTCCCTCCTTCAACCCTCCCTCACCCCTCCTTTTATTCATCCATCCCACTTCCTTCCACCCTCCCTCTAACCCAACACCAACACACACTTTCTCCCCCTATGCTTTCCATACCTTCTGCCTTCCCTCCTTCTTTCCATCGTTCCCTCCTACTTTCCCTCCATCGTTCTATTCCTCCTCCTCCTCCCTCCCTCCCTCCTTCAACCCTCCCTCACCCCTCCCTTTATTCATCCCTCCTTCCACCCTTCATCTAACCCAACACCAACACACACTTTCTCCCCCTATGCTTTCCATACCCAGGGTGTTGAGAGCTGGTAGCCGGGTAGGGAGAGTATCAAGGATGGGCGCGAGAGTGCTGTAGTGGGCGGCATCCAGAAGGGAGATCGAGGCGTGGGTGAGGGAGACGGGGAGAACCAGAGCCGTAGTGGGCGTCACTTGGCCCTCGAACCTAGACACTCGACACCTAAGAACGATGGGCGTAGGAAGGGTAGGTGGAAGGGAGAGAGAGAAGGGGGCGAGGTTGAGAAAGGAAGAAGGGAAGGGGTGTGTGAAAAAAGAAGGGAAAGGGAAGATAGGAGAGGAAATGGAGGGTGTGTAAAAAAGGAAGGGAGAAAGGAGACAGGAGAGAAAATGGAAGTTGCGTGTAAAAGGAAGGGAGAGGAGAGACAGGAGAGAAAATGGAGGGTGTGTGAAAAAAAGAAGGGAAAGGGGAGACAGGAAAGAAAATGGAAGGTGAGTGTAAAAGGAAGGGAGAGGAGAGACGGGAGAGAAAATGGAGGATATTAGGAAAGGAAGGGTGAGAGGGAGTGAGACAGACGGAAAGACGCAGAAGGAGGTAGAGGGTAGGGAGTGGGAAGCAAACAAACATTAGATAATTGCTTTAAAAATGTGTCAGAATAATTCTCGTTACAGTCCCTCAATATTTGTGAATTTTTATGCTATATTTGATTAACAGTTTTCATCTCCTAAGAATCCCAGTAAGTTCAATGTGAATTATATTACAGTCATGAAAAAATATTATAAATCTGTTGTCTTCAAGCTGCAGTGCTATGAAGTATTTCTATAAATTAGATATTTCTAAATTTATTTCCAAGGTTTTCAGGAAAGCAGTCGGTCGAGGGACTGAACATAAGTAATTCATTATTCATTATAATTTTTTTTATGTCAATTTGTATCAGAACGTTTCAGTTAGAATTTATTTTACTCCTTTAATTACACTATAAGAGATGTGCTCACAGATGTATTACATAGCCATCACTCGGAAAGATAGAAAGAGAAATAAAAAATGATGATTAGTAAAAAAATAAATAAATAAATAAAAAACTTGGAGGGCCTTACCACTGAAAGACATGATGCAATGTCACATTATAAACATTCGAGATAACCTTCGGATGCAAGAAATCGTGTTTGAGGAGTAGCTGGACCTCGCAGGGGTGTTGACTGAGTGACATCAAAAGGTCCAAGCAGCTGGGAATCACCTCTGGGTCGCTGGAGATGTTCACTTTCACTCTCGAGGGTCGGGCGTACTTCAAGAGTACGGCGTAGGCGGGTACACGGCTATCCCTTACAGTGATTTTGCCGTCTAAGTCCAGCACGTCAGGGATACAGCGAGCCATCTCCCTTGCAACGTGAGGATCGCATCCCGCATTCATGAGAACATCGAGCCACGATTCCTTGTCCCTCAGTCCCGTTCTCTCCAGGAGCAAGACCAGTTCCCGAGCTGTGTCCTGCCTGATGTCTTCCCCGAGGAGAGACACGAAGCTTAGTAGGATGGCAAATACGTTTTGGAATCTCCAGATCGGTAGCGTGGGTGGATGGTGACTCCCTTCCCTCAAGATGGTCACTATTGCTGTTTCTCTGGGTGACGAGAACACCGTATTGATCTTCCCGAAGAGGCCCTTCTTCCTGTTCTCCGATGTCTCGCTAAGGACACTGTGTGCGTGTCTCAGAACCTCTTGGGCTCGAACAGTTGAGATGTTGTGGCTGGAGAGGACTGTCTGAAGATCGAAGAGAACCTTTGTCAGATCCACGTCGTTTTCCTTCTCCGAGAGCCTATTAAGTATGGCCACAGCTGCATAGAATTCTTGTAACCTTTTATGTGTAAAGCTGTACACACTCTGTTCCCCAGAAGCTGTCAAGAAAGTCTCTTTGGTAAGGAAGTTGGAGATTACGACACCACTAGGAAGAGCAACAGAATGACAAGCATGTTCTAGTCGCTTTACGGATTCTTCAGCTAGACTTCTGCCATTTCTCTTTATGGCAAATAAGGCCTCGTTGCAGAGCCAGAAGAAGACAACCTTCATTTTGTCCTCTAGCTCTGACACACCAAAATGCCGGGTACTTGGGGTTTCCTTCAAAATCTCCAAAAGATCCCTTTGACATAATTTATCAGTTTGGACCAGGAGATCTATGGCTGATCGGAGGCTCTTGACACTCTCAGGAGAAGCGACCCAGAGGGAGGCAGCCAACACTAGATTAAGGGGACACCGCCAGTATTCCTCGAGCAGTCTTGGAGTAGCATTGATAAAGGCCTCTAAACCGCCTGACTCTTGGCTGTCGCAGTCATGTTGAACGAGTTCTTTATATAGTCTTACTGCCAATTCTCCTCTCCTGTCTTTGGGAACACCCATGATACTTAAACGTGAGGCAGACAGATCACTGAGCACAGTCTTGTGGAAGTCCTCGGCGGCCTCTGGAGATGACAGGACCCAAACAGTCATGTTGCGCATTGATTTCGCCGCTGTGATCACCTCCCGGACAATCTGGAGGGAAGACATGTTCAAGTCGTCCAAGCTGTCCACAAGTACGAGAGTCTTTATATCTCGCAGGCACTGAACCACGTCGTCATCCGTAAACATTTTTCTTGCACCGGGCATCAGCGATTTTAGCAGTTCACTGAAGGATTTTATATGCGGATTTCTACAATCTACATGTATAAGAAGCGCAAAGTTATCCAATCCTCTTGGGACATTCGCTTTCTTGGACCAGTCTAGCATCAGCTTTTTTGAGAGGGTAGTTTTCCCAAACCCTGAAGGGCCTTCTAGGAGAACAGCTTGTGAGGAGGCTGGTCTGTCTGTGCCATGTTGTTGCGTAGAGTGAATGTTGAATAGATCATCATAATCTACCTTCTTGGAGTTTCCATCAATTGTAACTTCAGCAATGTCTACCTCCATGAATATTGCCTCAAGCAGTAGATGTTGATTTATATTCTTGACTGGCACTAGTCCCTGACATGTCAAATTGTCATATGAACGCCTGAGCTGTGGTGAACCCATGAAGACCAACAACTGTGCCTTTTCCTCACTAAGAATTGCCTCGCCATAGCTGCTAACGCTCCACTGAACATGTGCATCGCTCTTGGCCCTTGCAATGTTCTCAGTCATCTCCTGGATCTTCTGAGTGATCACTTTATGCTCGACGTCACTGATGCTTCCTGCACCTTTGAGGATCTTCGTCAGGATCTCTTCCGCTGACTTTGCTTTCTCGGTGAGATTTTTCTGGGTGACGAAGCCTCCTTGGAATACGCTCGCCCGGAACTCCTTCAAGGCTGTCAGTTGGTATTCGAGATGATTCCCAGGTTCAACCCAGAACTCGTCCCCGGAAGGAGCCAATTTATCGGTTCCATGTTCGAGAAGGAGGCACAAGAGGAAGAGGTCGAAAGTGGCTCCTGGAGGATCTATCTGAAGCCTCTCCTGATGGCTCTTGTTGAAGACGCTGCGAAAAGAGGCTCGGCTCATCTTCTTGTCTCTGAGAAGGTACTGGTCATACCGCTGCAAGGGCATCTTATCCGGGACGACCCAAGACAGAACGGTTCTCAACACGGCTGCGGCTTCCTCTACAACAATTTTGACAAGCCGCATTAAGGCACTGCCATCGTCCGCATCTTCAGCAGCGACGGTGGTTGCATTGGGCGTCTCATCACTCTGTTGCTCCTTCATGTAGTTCTTTATTCTATCTATAAAGTCAGCTGCACTTTCAGAAAGAAGTTGGCCTTTCTCTGGGGGAACTTCTGTACATTCTCCTTCAAGGTCCTCGTCTTGCCTGCATGATTCCCTCATCAACGGAGCTGGGAAAGCAGGAGCTGCAGCTGTATTCATCGCATCCTTTATAGCTTCTTGAGTGAGTGACGCTCTATCACAATCAATACTCTTTATGTCACTGACAGTCATGACAGTCTTTACTACCTCTGTGACAGCTTCTGTTACTGCTTCTGCAACTGTGTTAACTGCTTCTCTCACAGCTTC